CTCATAATAGAGCTAGACATAAGAAAATAACCTCAGATTTGTAGTTTTAACTGGGAAAATTACCCCTAGTATGTTTCCTCATGGTAGTATAAAAGTATCCTTTGACATAATGGAGCATAGTACCAAAAATACTTCTTTTATTATATTATGTTTAAGTATACTTGCAGTCATTCTTTTTTTAATTTGTTTATTTGACAGGTAGAGTTATAGACAGTGAGAGAGAGAGACAGAGAGAAAGGTCTTCCTTCCATTGGTTCACCCCCCAAATGGCCACTACAGCCGGAACTGCACCGATCCAAAGCCAGGAGCCACGTACTTCCTCCTGGTCTCCCACATGGGTACAGGAGCCCAAGGACACAGGCCATCCTCCACTGCCTTCCTGGGCCACAGCAGAGAGCTGGACTGGAAAAGGGGCAACCGGGACAGAATCCAGCGCCCCAACCCGTACTAGAACCGGTGCCCATATGGAATGCTGGCACTGCAGGTGGAGTATTAACCAAGTGAGCCATGGTGCCCGGCCACCTGAGTCATTCTTTATTTTACTCACCTTTATTAATTAGTCACTCTTTATTCAGTACAAGGTACTGCATAGTCTGTCATTGTCTCATTTTGTGAACCATATAGCTTAATAATCACTTATAGTGTCACTGAATTCTTTGATTTTTCAATTGGTACCATTTTAAACATTTTTGGTTTTCAAAAAGTGCCATTGCAAAAGACAAAGTGGCACTGCTTTATGGAAGTCAAATAAAAATGAGTGGTTTAAGTTGTTCTGTGAAAACTTTTTGGGATTTTCAGTTAAAAGCCTTTAAGATTTGAAGATTGAAATAAGACTGAGTGAACAGGCAGAGGCAGACACTAAAGACAGGTTTATACACTTCAGTGCCAAGATCATAGTGAGAATTGGGGACAGTGGACTAAGTGACAAGGAGTTTTTGAAACAAATACTTGATCGGAGTGGGAGAAGTGATATGAGTCATTTCAAGGTGAGATGGGAACTTGAAAATCAGTGGGAAGCCAGATGTAGAACTTAAAGCAGGAGTAGATAAGCATTAGGGAGGAAAACAATTTTTTGGAGACACTTTAGACTGATTGCAGGGGAGGATGATAGAGACCAGGGAGGAGAATAAGGAGGGAATTGCAGTATAAGTGAAAGGTGAAAAATTGTCCGCACACATGTGAAGGTTTTTTCAATAGCTAGGTGATACTAGTATTGAAATTTGCCACCCAATTAACTCACCTTGGGGAAGGTAAGGTGACAGGGTAATGTCCTGGTAACAGATTTCCCATTTGGTAAAACGTGAATTTGATAGCAAGTCTACAGATATAAGGACTTTGAAATTTACTTGTGTTTATTGGAATGTGCTGTATGAGACTATGTTTGAATCTTTGCATACAATCAAAATGTATAAATGGATTTTCTTTTGTATTTGTAAAAATATTTCAAAGATGCAAATGGGAATAGAGATCTTGTGAGGCTGGTAATTTGTTTAGCTTCCCATCTTCCTATTTAAGAACCATGTTCAATAGCAGATATGTTTTTAGGTCCAACATGGGAAGGACAGGGTGAAGAAAGATTTCTCTGAACTCATACCTGCAAATTGCTTTTATTGTTTTGAGTTTCAGGAATGAATAAACTGGAATTCATAGAGCTTTCAAAGCTTCCTTGGATCCTGTGGCTCATTGCATTGGATTTTGATTGCAGATTCCATTTCCCTTTCTCTCTGTTCCTTTATTTAAAAATGTCCCTCAGCACCTTAAACAGCCTTACCCTTGACATTCCCACCACCAACTGATAGCATCTTTCTTTGGTTCCCATTACTTAATTATTGACAATTAAGATATTTTCTCCAGTTTTGAATATTTTATCGCTTTGGTAATGTATACCTCACTGTCATTATTTTGGAAAAATGGGCTGTACCTTCTGGAATTGGAAATTCACCTTAAGCCTTTTAATACCTCGGCCATTTTGTACCCTTATTTCTCATCTTCAATCATTTCTCATGCCCTGTTGATTTTATTTCTCCTCTCTTTAATTCATGAACACTGTCACTATTGTAGTTCAGAATTAAAATTTCTTTCCTCACATCTGCAAGAGGGGTCTATTAACAGTTTACTTACTTTTACATTTTTCTCTCTCTAGGTCAACTGATTCACTGCTTCCAGAGTATTTGCTAAATATGGGTCTGGTATTTTACTTTTCCATCCAGCAACCATCAGAGGCCTTTGTATAATAAGTACCACTTCTTAGTCTGTCATTTAATGCCCTCCAAGCTCTGTCTATGGTCTACCCTTCAGACATAATTTCTTTTACGATTACCCTTTATGACCCCTTCTTTCCAGGAAAATCAAATTTTCTGTTAGCCTCATGTTTCTCACACCTACCTCTCAACATTTTTCCTTCTGTCTTTCATTGTTATTCTATGTTCTGAGATTATATCTACTCAGTCTCCATGTGCAACTGCCACTTCCTCCTGTGCTTCTCTTATATCTGCTTTTCCCAGTATACCGCTTCTGCCACTGACTCTTGGCCCTCCCACTGTTGCTTTGCCTAAGGAAGGAACTTTATTGTTCTCCTCCTCTCCCTCCACTCTGCTACCATGATTACTTGTCTCTTGTGGAAATCTTAAGTTACCATTTCCCTGCTTGAAAACTTTTGCCTGCACTCTTAGTTGTAGGCAAATTCTGTACCTTGGTATCCAATTCATGTCATTAACATTTTTATGTCTTTCATACCAGTCTTACTTCTTGCTATACCAATTTCTTACACTATGTACTTCCTATTATGTGTATGCATTTTTGTTATGTTATTGTCTACCTCTTTCCTATTCTGTTCTGTTATGGATGGAGCTAATCCATCCATTTTCTGGGTGAATGTTACAATATTATTGACTTCTGTTCAATTCTGTGGTTACTGTGGTCATGCAATACTAAACTACTATTTTACATAGGTGTGTATAAGGCCATGCTGTATGCATCTTTGTATCCCTAGCATCTAACATAGGGGGTCTGGCAGATATTTATTTATAATTTGGTTGAACTGAAAGAAATCTTGACATATCCAAGCCCAATGGATTCTCAAAGTCTCATCCCAAATAGAGTAGTCTTTCCTGATGTCATTTTCACCCATTACCACCAACTGAAAGGGGTCCAATTTTCCTTCTTATCCAGATCATATTGTCAGACTCATTTTTTTGACATGCACAGCTTGCATTTTGTTGATGGGTCATTTTTTTTCTTCCCTTCTAAAATGTAAGCTTTGTTAGTTCACAATTTAGTTATAGTTGTTTAACATGTTGTCTCTTACAGTATTTTATGCATGTGCTTTACAAATCTTAGAAGCCAAATAAATATGGATTAAAATAAATGAATGGATGTATAAATTCTATAATGAATATTGCATGGAAAATCAAAGAAGTTAAGAACCTTAAAGAAATTTTGGGATAATTTCTTCTAACTTCTTCATCTTACATATCAAGAATCCAAGTTAAATGAAATTCTGTTATGTCTCCCAGGTGTTAGCACTAAAAAGGAAAAATTGGAACCTAAGTTCCTGATTCTATGTTTTTTTTTTATTTTACAGGCAGAGTGGAGAGTGGACAGTGAGAGAGAGAGACAGAGAGAAAAGGTCTTCCTTTTGCCCGTTGGTTCCCCCCCCCAATGGCCGCCGCGGCCAGCGCGCTGCGGCCGGCGCACCGCGCTGATCCGATGGCAGGAGCCAGGAGCCAGGTGCTTTTCCTGGTCTCCCATGGGGTGCAGGGCCCAAGCACCTGGGCCATCCTCCACTGCACTCCCTGGCCACAGCAGAGGGCTGGCCTGGAAGAAGGGCAACCGGGACAGAATCCGGCGCCCCGACCGGGACTAGAACCCAGTGTGCCGGCGCCGCTAGGCGGAGGATTAGCCTAGTGAGCCGCGGCGCCGGCCCTAAGTTCCTGATTCTGAAGTAATCCATTTATAGATTTTCAAGTACATTCCTTTACCTCTTCATCATATGAATTTTCTTGATGCTTTACCTCATAAATTATTTTTTATTGATTATCTAAATTACAAAAAAGATCTTTTCTGGGTACTTATTTTTAAAAATACAAGGGGGTGGACACTTGTAACAGTTTAGCCAGCTGCTTGGGATACCAGCATCGCACATCAAAGTGTATGGTTTGATTCCTGGCTCCCCTGCTTCTGGTCTAGCTTCCTGCAAATGTGCGTCCTGGAAGTCAGCAAGTGATAGCTCAGGTATTTGGGTCCCTTCCATCTATAAGGGAGAGCTACATGGAGTTCCTGGCTACCGGCGTCAGCCTGGATCAACCCTGACTGTTGTGGGCATTTTTGATGTGAACCATCAGATGGAATGTCTCTCTCCATATATATAGATCTCTTCATGTCTCTCTGTCTTTCAAATAAAATGAAAATAAGAAAAAATGAATACAAATTTTGTTAAAAAAAAAAACACATGAGTTTTCTTCTTGGAAAGACCATAATCACATCCTGGAAGTCACATCATATTGAGTAAGAAAATATAGAACAATTATAAAGTGAGATTTTTATATTAAATATATTCATGATCATTTTTATGAAAGGACCTGTAGAAGAAAACTACAAACATATTTGTTTTGACCCTTAAAATTCATTTAGAACTAGGCTGAATATTAATTGCATTTTTTATTTTAAAACTGGAACTAGTATATGATTTATCATAAATGTAAATCAGAAATAATATTTGGCTAAGTAGTCTTATTTATACAAACTAGTTTATCAGTTCAGTTCTCTGATTTTGTATAGTTTGTACATGTATACTGCAAACTATATGATATAAATTTTTTATGGTTGCCTTTTATATGGATTATTTGATTCTCTGTGAACAAATGATATACATGTCTTAAAGGTCAATATTTAGGTATAAGCAAAAATATGTGATTGTTTTGGTGCCTTTGAAATGTTACATTCTCAGAAAGGCTAGAGCATGGTTTCTAACTATCTTTTAATGTTTTCTAATTTAAAAGATAAATAAAATTTGTGGCCGCCCAGTAAGAACACCTACTCAAAGCCCTCATTGTTCTTTTGATGGGAGCAAAGAGAAGCATGGAATGAAGATCTCTACAAGGAATGGTGAAGAGACACTGGCCAACAGAAGAAAGTAAGACATTTGTTTTACAACCAGAAAGAAAGAAGAAAGTAAGCCATTAATTTTACCACAGAATAGAATATATTCAAATGAGTAGAACCAAATATGAGAGGTCTTCAAAATGTTTGTAGAAAATGTTAATTTTTATCAACTTACACATGAATTTCAGAAATTTTTGCACCACAATTAATATCAATTAATTCCATTTTCCATAAACCATTTGAAGTACTCTCATACAGTATGGAAGAAAAAAAATTAGTGTTCATTTAAAATTCAGTGGCTCCACCTGTTCCATTAATTTGGAAGATAGTTTCAACTTCTGAGACCATTTCAACTTTCTGTGATGATGTAAATGTCATATGATATATTTTGGCAGACCCTGGGCACATGTGATCATTCCACCATTAAAATGTGGCTAGTGTGACTGAGGATTGAATTTTTATTTTTTACTGCTTTCATTAATTTTCATCCAAATTCCACACATGATGAGTGGCTACTGTAATGTCCAGAGTGAGATATTAAGAGTATATTTTAATGATGCAAGCATTACTGAATGTGTAGCATTTGTTAAAAATAGTTGGATTAAAAGCAAGTATCCATTCCTTTTCACCTGGGATGCTAAAAAAAGGCTATGTTGATTCAAAATGATAGCCATTGAGTAGAGCTTGTTGCTATCACTAACATATCTGTCACTGTGTTCATCATTAGTCATGATTTCACATGTTAAAGTCTTCATTAGTGACACTTTGACTTCTAATTTGTGCTTATACTAAAAGTCAGTTAAAACTGGAGGAAACTTATTTTATTTTTTGTGATTAGTTGACCAATCTGTGTCCCTGATGTCACCTAATCAATGTAAATTTGGTTGCCTGAGCATATAAGAAAACCAAACATGGAAGCCAGAGTTTTGGGGGAAAGAAAATGTATTATAAGGCAGCCAAGTATAGAGTCAGGAGCAAAGCTCAATTCTGACTGTCCTAAAAGTTCTTGCAAGAGACGTTGAGGACCAGACTGAGGAATGTGCGACAGGCCTGGGAGGTAATTATTCTTACTGTGCAGGCACAGGTCAACTACATGCCTCTTCCCAGATAGCATGTTTTAAAAATGGCAGTTTTAGTATTTTCAGTGGGTAGAGATTTGGTTCAAAACTTTTTGAGTTCATCTAGGTCCAACAGCACATGCATTGTTTGTCATTTTGCCGACATAAGGAATTTCCAAAAACTTCTCTGTTCATCTACTAGGGAAAACAAAAAAGTTTTAATTAATTCCTCATATCTTAACTCTGTGGATTATGGTTTTACTGGCAAGTGCTAGATTCCCAGGTTTTTTTTTTAATTGAACAAAAATATAGATAATTTACCAACAAATTATTTCTCATACCTATGGATCATTTGTTTATAAAATATTTTACATAGGTTTACTGTCTAAAAAATGTCTTCCTTTTTGGGGGGCAGCATACCTAATTGCCTCATATTCTCCTCAGATAAGCTAAAAGTTTGGGATAATGATCTAGTCTATTTATTTGCTACAGCTATAAAGAATTAGCACCTTGTTAGCATGCAAAGTAGCTCTTCCCTGCCCCCCGCCACTAAACTACTATAATAATCATTAGTCATTTCTTACATTTGGAAAATCAGTATATTTTGTCTAGGGTGGTTCTTACAATAAAATCTCAGCTAAGGAATATATTAAGTTCTTAACACATCATATTTTTTCACCATCAAAACAACCCAATTTGAAAACAGAACAAAATCCAACCTTTAATATCATTTATTCTCTAGCAAAATTAAGCCAATGTGGATATTTTATTATTACAAAATAATTGGGAAGAGTGAGGGGCTGATATGAGTGGAAAGTTTTGAGAGTATTTATCCTGGCTATTGAACAGACCTCTTTCATACTAGTCTTGCAAATTCATTTTTTTTTTTTTTTTGTCTTTGAACAGCCAGCCACCAGTAGCTACCGCTTATGAATCAGGGTAGATCTATCACAGGCCAATTTCATGCCATACAAAGTGAATAACTGCACTTGAGCCCATGTGAACATTTCAATTTTGCACTATTTTTTATTGCCACTCTCAAGTGGAGTTTAATTGTCATGGTAGTATATTCTGTTTGTTGCCTCTATATTGTGCATATATATATATACATAAACTAGCCATGTATTTTATTTATCTCTCATCAACTAATTATTTACCATGAGATCATAAATTTCAGCTGAAATAGTTGAGGAAATGTAGCAGACATAGGTGCTGAGTCTGGGCTACTTTTTTTAATAAACTCTACTTTTGTTTGTCCAGTTGAGCTTGATAGCAAATCAGTCACTTTCTTTTTTTTTTTCTTTTTTTTTCTTTTTATCTATTTATTTATTTATTTATTTTGACAAGCAGAGTGGACAGTGAGAGAGAGAGACAGAGAAAGGTCTTCCTTTTGCCGTTGGTTCACCCTCCAATGGCCGCCGCGGCCGGTGCGCTGCGGCCGGCGCACCGCGCTGATCCGATGGCAGGAGCCAGGAGCCAGGTGCTTTTCCTGGTCTCCCATGGGGTGCAGGGCCCAAGCACTTGGGCCATCCTCCACTGCACTCCCGGGTCACAGCAGAGAGCCGGCCTGGAAGAGGGGCAACCGGGACAGAATCTGGCGCCCCGACCGGGACTAGAACCCGGTGTGCTGGCGCCGCAAGGTGGAGGATTAGCCTAGTGAGCTGCAGCACCGGCCTATCAGTCACTTTCACTTGATAATGTATTGCATATATTCAAGCCTAATCTTATAGCCTGGAACATCAGATAACACTTATTTCATCACATGTATCTCAGCTTGCATAGCCACTTGCTAGCTTGTGAGCAAGCTTATAGTTTCTGCTGGGGCTTAGTTGCAACTAAGCCAACTAAACAACTAGCCAACCAACCAACCAATGAAGCAGCTGAACCGAGATACTTCCGATACCTTTGAATGGTTCATCTGGGTCACCTAGACTGGTCACCACAGCAGCTGCTGAAGAGCAAGCAACAGATACTTTTCATATATTTTATATATATATATATTTTTTCATATATATATATATATATATATATACATATATATATAGCAATAACTCTTTTTGAACAAGCATAGTGGTCCAAAAAGCACGGTCCATCTTTCAGAGGTTACATCATCTTAGGTACATAAATTTGCCTTTTATGTTAGAAGAGTAATCCAATAAGATCCAGACCACACGTGGAAATCATGCCAAATTGAAAAACACATGAAAGGTTAGTATTTTTCATCTTCAAGAGCATGCATACATCTACTAAGGCATGGAGCAAGATCTTTTCAGTGTTTTATTATCAGCACAGTGTAGGATGTCTAAACAGGCATGGTGCTTTGCACCATGGTCTGGGAGAAGTGTCATAAAGTCTAATAGTGAAAGGGTACTGCTGTCCTTGGTAGTTGACTATTAAATATTTTTGGTTGTCCCTACTAATTAGTAATTTGCCAAATCATTAGCTGGATAACAGAAATTAGGGAGTGTGTTGACTTCTGTAGTAGACATCACATACAAATGAACATATGAATTTGGAGTCACCCACTGACTTCAGAAGTGAGTACACGAACCATCCAAACAAGTGAGATAAATTATGAGGTTTTAGGAATCACCACTGCATTTTTTATTGTCTTTGAAGATGGCCCTCACATATCTCAGCAATTCCACAGGATATGTTAGTCTTTTGTTTTACTCAAATTGTTTTTGCAAGGAAAGGTAGTGTTAGGGGTTTCAATTTGACTTTCATTTCATGAGTGTGCAGAATGTGCAAGTCACAAGTATTTATATTACAAGTGTGAGTTCTTAAGTGTGAAACAAATACAGGATAAGTCTGTGGACTCACTGGCCTGAGAGTCAGACTGAACCTAATGCTATATGCGGCTGCTTCCATGAACTCTGTTTCTAGTGTTTGTTTTGTTGATAGTGTTACATTTTTTTAATAATGTTGTGCACTGTTACAGCCATTCTGGCAAGAAATTTGTCACATCAGCACAACTCATATACCCTATTTACTACAATCTTAATTTCTTAACATGGTTTAAAAATAGCTAAAACTCTTTCAGTCAAAATTTTCATGAAAGGCAGTGTAGTAAACTTTTCAATAATCATTTTTGTCATTTCACATGCTGAGGATAGATTATTTTTAGTGTAGTATATAGTAAATATAATGACTATCTAGATTGAGAAAAATATATATTTAATCCAGAATAGTTGTTGACTTGTTTGGGTTTCCAATTATCATTCATTAATTAAAACAGAAGGAAAGACTATTAAAAATAGATAGACAGGCTGGCACTGTGGCTCACTAGGTTAATCCTCCTCCTGCGGCACTGGCACTCCGGGTTCTAGGCCCTGTTGGGGCACTGAATTCTGTCCCGGTTGCTCCTCTTCCAGTCTAGCTCTCTGCTGTGGCCCGGGAGGTCAGTGGAGGATGGCCCAAGTGCTTGGGTCCCTGCACCTGCGTGGGAGACCAGGAGGAAGCACCTGGCTCCTGGCTTCGGATTGGCGCAGTACTGGCCATGGTGGCCATTAGGGGAGTGAACCAACGGAAAGAAAACCTTCCTCTCTGTCTATCTCTCACTGTCTATAACTCTCTCTGTCTCTCTCTCTCACTGTCTAACTCTGCCTGTCAAAAAAATAAATAAAAAAGTAAATAGACAAGAGAAATATAAATTTCCAAATGACTCATCAAAAATCACAAAAAAACCCACTGCTTTTTGTAATTCATAAAAATGAAGTTAAAAATTGTACTTCTAGAGTTAGTTTTATGAATTAATACATCTGTGACAATTTTTCTTAGTTGTTTTTTTTTTTTAACTTGGGACAATACCCATAAGAATATGACTAGCAAAAACTACTTTTGATAGTTTAAATCAACACAGAACTGTTAAAGGAAAGCCATCGAATGAAACAAAACATTTAGTAGTTTCTATAGCTTGATATGAGTATAGTTTCTGCAGTAGCTAAAAAAAATTGAAATTCTAAAAAAATAG